TTCTTCTTCTTCCTCTTTTTCTTCTTCTTCTTCCTCTTCTTCTTAATATGACAAGCAAAGCAAAATAGATGATACAGCAATTGATGTTGCATTAGCTTTTGTTCCGCAGTTTTATTGTTATAGTGTTAATTTTTCGCTCGGCTAAATGCTCGTTTTAAGTATTTAAAAATAACGAAACTGTTTCTAATCTGTAAACAATCTCCATTTAAACAATGATACTTCAAACACAAAGCATAAAGGTGATTTTACCTAGGGCATTTTCGTATACCAGTAAAAAGGAATCTATAAAAAAGAAGAAAGAAAAAGATATACCTTACGTGCCATGCAGACATAACCAATACGATATAAAATRAATCTTTGAAAACTCCTAATTGTGCACCATTGCGCTTGAACAGAAAATAAAAAATTCAAACTAAATAGCTATATAGGAATTGAAAATTTGAAATGTCCAGAATAATTCTTAACAATCCCCCTTGAAGTCATGCAAAAAAATACGATCCCCCTAAGCAAGGCTTGTAGCTTCTTCCAAAAATTGTGCATCCCCCCATTTTTCTGATAAAAATTTGCCCATCCCCGCTTTTTCCTACCAAAAATTTCCCGATCCCCCCTCAATTTCACCTGCCCCCTCCCTTTCCGTCCTGCCATACATTATGAACACAGCCTTATCTAAAATTTAAAGTTTACGAATATTTTCCAGTGTTAACTCTGGTGATCAACGAAACAAGTTTCGAATTGCCGTAAGCGTTTTCATGGTTCATGGTTTTTGATTTTCTAGACCAGTAACTCCTAAATAGTATAATTCATTTATCATCTTCAAACAAATGAGAAAAAAAACTTATTCGATATAGATTTTTTGGTGGGGGGAATAAATGTAGACTGATAGTTTAGTAAAATCAAAATGGCTAGGTCATTGAGTTAATGGTCAATCCTATAGCAACCAGTTTATTCCCAAGACCAGCCTTTTTTGTTTAAAACTAGACATCCCCTCGAGTTCCAATTTACCTGCTTTAATTATTATCGTTATTCAGTGTTCCGAGGACAGGCTACTTAAGCAGCTTAAGGGCATGCATAACTGTTGTCATTATTATAAGGTGTTTTCATTCAATGGCCCGAAAATTAACCCAGAATGCTGCACGTGGGGAAAGTTTTTTTTTGTTCAGCGTTGCTCATCTTGATTCTAGGCAAAAAATGTAATCTTTTTTGTCGTTAACAACKATGGCCAGTGGGGATAAAGGTTATACGTATTCCTCCTTTTGTCACATGGCTTTAAGAATATGTAAGAATCATGCAATACTTTAAAACCACAATATATATAAAAATTATATTTGACGCGAACTGTGGAAAATTGAGTGGGGAATCAATCTAGGCATTTTGAAATATGGCGACCAATTTGAATGRCTATTGTTCTTCACTGACAAGCGACTGACTAGCCTCGTGTTCACATGGAAACATAAAAGCGTTTTCACATGGTCAGTCGCTATTCAGTCCAGAACACTAATTATTCAAATTGGTCGCCATATCTTGATTCGGTGTATATATTCTTCATCATTTTCGTATAGTTCAAAATAAAATTCTCAATGCTGCATGAAATAAAAGACAACTGAGAATGGCACGAGCCAGCGCAGAAGAACATTCCATTCTAGTAATAATCGCTATGACGACGACGACTTACGACATCTTTCTTTAATACRATACTGAAGCTGTCTGTTGAAAAACTTTAAAAAAGTACACAAAAATACGAGAAGTTAGTTTCAAAACTAGTAACTATATTAGTTTTCTCATTGTTTTCTGCATTTTCAAAATATAAAAAGAAGTTAGAAAAGATTGAATCAAGTTGGACTTATAGACGCGCTCTCCTAGATATTTTTTAGGAGAGGCGGACGAGACGAGATCTAAAGGAGCAGCTGTCCATATAGTACCACATTTCATAAYGTCTTTTGTGCTTATCCACTGACCTCCATCAATAATTCCTTTAATCCTGTATCAAGCGCACATGGAACTGAGGAAAGTACTRATTGAAATGCACGGATTACCAAAAAATTGCTGTAATGAGTTTGTGCTCGCTTGAGAGGAACAGAGATACAAGTTGACTGAGTACTGAAAGACGTGTCTTCCGWGGGAAAAAGCAAGAATGAGCCCGGCTTGCCAAAATGGAAAAGAGCTAGATAGAAACTAAAAATATTAAAACGTCCGGACAAAAAGTTTGATCTCACGCACCTTTATTCTATTCATTGTTTGATATTCATTATTTATTTTATTCAAAAACCGTCAATTAAAGCTTTTCTCGAAGAATTGAACAATTACGCCTTGATAAAATTAAGGCTTTTTGCTTCTCAAATGTTTTCCAAAAGAAAAACAAAAAACGAAAAAAAAAAAAAAAAAAAAAAAAAAAAAAAAAACTTACCAACCAAACAACTAACTAAACAACGAACCAATTAGCAAACA